CTCCTCCTGAGTTAATCTGGTCAGGCTGCAGGGCTGCAGTGTGACTTGGTGTGAAGGACAGTCTTCCTGCTCTGAGTCACCACCCAAGGATTGACATACAGATGTATCCCCAACGTGTCCCACGTGGCACTGAGCACACCTTGGTGTGCAACACCCACGCACTGTCAGGGGCCCCAGCTGTCCAGCAATTTGGTGTACTCAGACAGTGACCTGAATTGTGTGGTGAGTTTGGCTAAAAGGCTGCAGCAAAGCTTCATGGACTTTGGACTTTGACTCTTCGAGACATGTACAAGGTTGTCACAGTGTTAAATCAATCCCTTTGCCAATTGCAGGATAGACATTTTAATGGCACAGGCTTTGTCCCCAGCCAGACACTCAAGAGTCAGAAAAGCCCTTACCTTCCTTCTCCTGGAGTAGGGAGTAACACTGGAGCAGGACTTGTGACAACAGCTGGATGCCTCGCCCTCGCATCCGAGGATCTGTGTTCTCCAGGCAAAACCTAAGCCAAGACGGGAGAAAGCCCAAGAAGCCTGTTGTGAGCAGGTACTTCCAAGCAGGAAGCACATCCTGAGCAGGCACATTACAAAACCAAAGAGGTGCCCCTCTGTGGGCCTAACCATGCCTGACTTGCTGGCAGAGTGGAAACAGACTCCTCTCCCCCTGTCTGTGCTGCATGTGTGCACTCAGCCCCAGAACCATGCAGAAAGAAATCCAAGTTCTCAAGTCAGATCAAAGAAATTGCTCTTGCACCATGCTCCCAAGATCACAAGAATCAAAAAGGATAAAGCCTCTTGCAGTGAGGCAAACCCAGCCCCCATCTTGGGAGAAATGAGCCTAGGCCATGGACAGTTTGCAGAAGCTGAGTGCCAGCCAACCTGTGCTATGGTGTTGTGCAGCTGTGTGCTCAGGCAGCTCTTGCTGGGGTAGCCCCAGCTGAAAAGTGCCCTGCAGCATGCTGCCTGCCACAACATCTCTCCTCTGTCCTGGGAGAGCATCAAGAGCTGCTCTGGCCTTGCTCTTTCCCAGAGAGCTCCCACATCCAGGGAGGGCAAAGCACTGCTCAAGCCCCACACTGCGAGCAGACAACATCCTACCCACTGCAATGTGTCATCCAGTGCTGAAGCTCATCCTGGATGAGCACACTTTTCCTTCTCATTATCCTCCTTCTGGGAATGTCCCCTGCAAGGCCCTTACCCAATGTATAACTTGCATAAGGCTTTTCTTACCCCAGGGCTTCCACAAGCTGCAGCACTGTCCACCTTCCATCTTTCACCCCTGGAGAAAGGAGGTAAAGAGAGTGAACCAGAGATCATGCAGGCATGTTGCTGGAGATGGATGCTGGGACACATCCCAGCACTGCACTGGGAACGGCCGGTCAGTGCTGACTCCTCACCAAGCACCAAAGGAGCCACGTGCACTCAACTAGTGGGGCTGCCTCCAGCCCTGCCTGCAAACACCTCAGACTGAGAGCTGAGAGCAGACAGCCAGGGGAGAACTTGTCTGCACTTTGCCTCAGCCTCTCCCTGAAGCATGGCTGTGTGTGGCTCCTAAGAGAGGTCTTGCTGTGTTCCACTTCTCTGAGATACTAAAACCCCCTTCTCTAATGTGAGCATGCTGTGAAGAGACAGGGCAGCTCTCCAGAGGGAGAAGTGGCTGAACAAGCAGCACACACACTAGGGATCACTCAGCTTCCTACCTTGGCTCCATCACCTCCACACTGTGCAAGAACTGCACTAACTTCTTCCAAGATGGAGGGCACAGGGAAAGGCAGTTTTGTGGTCAGAGGAAGATAAAATGCTGGGATTCCTGGAGTCCGTTTCCAACTCTGACTCAAATTCCTTGCCAGGTTGCCTCATTCACCTACTGCCTCTGTACTCCTGCAATTCAACTGGGGGAAGAGTCACTCCTCAGGAGGCTTTGGTAAGGACCTGCTTGCTGCACCTTACAAGAACCTTGGCAGAAGGGCAGGTTCTCCATTCCTGCCACCCACTGCCAATGTGGCACCTCCCCAGAAGGAAAGCTCTGTGTATGCCCTCTGCTCAGACATACGCTGGCAGGCAAGGGACTGGCTTACCTTCAGACCCCTAACCTGCAGCTCAGGTGTCAAGTGACATTGCTGGTAAACAAGCAGCACCCCTCACTCTCTGCCTGGACAAAACAGCATTCCTCCACAAAAAAAAAAAAAAAAAAAAAAAAAATCAAATCACCTAGCAGTCACTGAGACTCACTGTCTTTGCCCAGGGGCTCTTTTGGGCACTCTGGAGGGACCTGCTCACCTCTCTGCCCTGCTGAACCTACACGGCTGACAGGGCACTCACCCTCTCAGAAGCCCAAAGGTTTCGTTATGGGCTTTCCCAGGCCTTGTTCCAGCTAGTGTCTCCTGCTGCTGCAAGCATTTACTGTCTCTTCCTAAGCAGTTAATTCCAGTATTAAGACACACTGTTCATCATAGTCCTGTCTCTAGGGATGGGATAAGAGTGTTTTCTGACAGTGTGTTCTGACAGAAGGCAGTCCTGACTCCAGAGACAAAGCTTTCAATCCTGCCTGGCGCAGCAGGGAGAGGGAGCCTGAACTGAGAAAGAGAACAGATAAGGGGAGTTGTGTGGAAAAAGAGCCCAGCAGGTCTCGGAATTGACGGGCACAGACTGAAAAGGGGGCGCCCTCACAGGCAGCCATGACGTGCTGGCAAAATTTCCTGCAGAAAAACAACAGTGAAACAGCAAGCAGATGCTTTGCACCAGCCAAAGCAGAGTGTGCTGCAGAGAGAGCCTGGATGGCCCCTCCATATCCAGCATCCCAATATTTTGCTCTGCAAGCTCATGAAGAGCCCTCTGCACCATCACAGAAAAAGTCTGAGACAAATGCCATCTCTGTGGCCAGGTGCTCTGCCTCTCTGTGTCTGCACACTGAAAGCAGCTCTACACAAAGCTTCTGGTTCCCTTCTCAACAGGAAAGAGCTGCAGTGTGATGGCCAAACCACAGTCAGGTACTGATACACCCCGAGGTCAGCAGCTCCTTTGCTCAGCTCAGCTCGGGCGCTCCCTGTGTTCTCAGGGACCCAGGTGTGACCAGCTCTGTCTCACAGGCTGTGGCCACCCCTCCCTGGCACAGCCTGTGAGTGTGGTGTGCTCGTGGCCAGCACCACACAGGCCACGGAGTGAGCACCAGCACAGCTCACTGGGCCTGCCCCATCAGCAGGGCAGGCACAGTGGTGAGCCTGAAACTGCTGCCTCACATCTGGCAGCAGCACACATGCCCCAAGGTTAATCAGGCACCTTGAACCCCTTTACCAGGAGGGGCTGCCTGGCTATTCTGGCATTCCTGTAGCCCCCAGAGACTCAACAGAAGCAAGCCATTCACCCTGTGCTGGATTGCTACTCTGAACCAAGCTGCTCTCTTTCCTGACAGGTCTCTCCCCTTTCAGTGTCCTTCTGAGTATCAGTCGCTTCTGGAGGACTTCCCTTCTTGTTTCCCCCACACCTTCAAAATGTGAGCACAACATTCACAGGGAATGTGTAATGGATTCTGTAACAGCACTGTCCTTCTCTCCCCATTTTTAAGATGAATTCAGCCTCCTCCTGCCACCCACTGACCCATGCAGCCCAACCTGCCTGTGACAGCACCAAGGCCTTTAGGCCACTTGCCAAGTTATGCTCATTTTAGTCCTTAGCAACAAAGTGGGGAAGCTCAATGTGTTTGTTACAGCAATTGCACAATGGCCATGAGCTTAGAAAAGACCTCCCTATCCTTCTGCTCAAGGATACACAATGCAATTTAATCCTTTCTGATGTGTGGTGCTGTACGAGGTCAGAGGGGCTCAAGGACACTTGCCAGCCCCTCTGTTTGGGAAGGTGGCTTGTCACAAGAGCCACACGGCTGAAAAGAGCTGGGAGGAGCAAGGGGGGAGCACTTCTCTTTGTATGTCTTACAAGAGAAAAAGCTTTGTCCAGGCTCTTCTGTAACATGACATCAAGTGACAACAGCAGTTGTAAGGTTATCCTTCCCCACGTATATTCTAAACATGTCAAAGACTGTGTAACCCTTCTGCAACAACTTGAATGTCACACAGTTTAGTGAATTCCTCCAAATTTCCTCGGCATTTTCTTCACTCTGTGTTACATGGGCCACTGGGTTAGCTTTCTGTTTTGCCAGCTCATCTCATCACCAAGACACTACATAGCAGTTCACAAGCCATCAGGCCTTGGGAAAGGTCTAGAAGCTACCTGTGTGTGTAATGTAACTCAACAATAACCCTTCTCAGCTCTCTGAGTTCCTTCCTGAAACATGCTAAAGCCACTGCCTACACACACAAAAATATCACTTTAGCTTCAGAAAGACACATTCCTGAAGCTGTAGCTTCCCTAATGCAACAGTCACCCAATTGCTGTTCGGAGGAGAAGGATAAATTATCCGGTGAAACAAATGCCAAAGCCCTGCTAGGAAAGGGGGAGAAACCACAGTGAGGGCAGTCTGCAACCATCACCTCCCACGGTCCCTCGGCAAGAGCAAGAGCTCTCTTCCCACTGTCGCTTTCTCTGCCACCCCCATCTGCTCCTGGAGCCCCTCACCCTCGCGGCTGTCCCGCTCCTACCGCACCTCTCCTCGGCAGCTCCGAGCTGCAGGCCCTACCCTACCATTCCCACGTGCCCTGCTTCGCACGGCAGCCTCACAACCCACCGACACGCTCTGTCCCGCGCCTCCACGCCCTGCCCTGCCCTGCCCTGCCCCGCAGCCCCACGCTTCCTCCCAAACCCCTCCCCACACCGCCACCACCCGCCCGTGCCCACGCCCGCCCCAGGCCCAGCCCGGCCCCGCCGCGGTGCCCACGCCCAGTCCCGCCTCGCCCCGCCCCCGCGCGGTACCTGCCGCCACCTCCGCGGCACGGCCGTCCTGCTGCCCGGACACGAAGTCCCGGACGGAGGCGGCGAGAGCCTCAGCCTCCGCCCCGGCCGCCGCCATGACACCCGCGCTCAGGGCCGCGGCCGGCCCCCCCACCCTGCCTGCGCGCCGGTCGGCCCCGCCATGGGCGGCTGCGTGGGGCGGCAGCGCCGGGAGCGGCCCGCGGCCGGCGGCAACACCCGCAAGCGAGCAGGTGAGCGGGGGTCGTCCGGGCTGGGCACCCCCGCGATCGCGGGCGCTGGAGCGGGGGGGGTCCCGTGTTCCCCTGGGGGTGGCGCGGGAGGAACGTGGGCACCGGAGGGGCGCAGTCCGCCACGGGACAACTCCTCCCTCGCACAACCCCAGGAGCCGCTCTGTGCCCTCGGGGTCCCCAGCCCCCGGGGATCTCGGTTCGGTGCGCGGCCTCGGGAGCGGACAGGAACGGCGGCTCCCGTCCCGGTGCCCCGGAGGCTGTGCGGGGTCAGGGCTGGGGTGCGCAGCGCGTCCAGCCGAGCCCTGCCGGGTGCCGGCTCCTCCCGGGAAGTGCTGTCCGGGAAGGACTGCGGGGTGGCGGATGCCGCCGGTCTGGGCTCGGCAGCGTCCAGCGAACGGAGGGTGCTGCCTGCTCGCGGTCCCTGCCGTCCCGTGCACCTGGCGGCTGCCGGCGGGCGCCGCCGCGTCCGCGCTGCCCCGGGGCTTCGCGGGGTGCGGCTAGGGCAGGGAGCGGCTGCGCCGGTCCGGAGAGCAGCGGCGGGGCTGGTGCAGCCCCCCGGCCCCCGGAGTTACCGGTACCGAACACCCGGGTGCCATGAGGCGCTTCCCCGTGATGCCGTGCCGGAGGGTCCCGGGGGCCGCGGGGATGGGTACTGTGGACTTTTGGCGGAGAAGCCGTGGGCTGCTAGGATGAATCACGCCTTTCCCTTGCCGCCTCCCCGGCCGGTGCCGTCGCAGCCGGTAATTACCGTGTTTATGGCAGAGCGGTAGTGGGCGGCGGGAGAGGAGGGGCAGGAAGCGTGTGCCCGGGACGGGACGCCCCGGCCCTCGCCCGCGCCTCCACTGAGGGAGGGAGGGAGGGAGGGAAGGGCGTTTTCCGTGGGACGGTGCTCGCCATCCGGCAGCACGTGCAGGGTGCCGTGGCTGCTGTGCCGTGCCTGTGCCGTGGGCAGCCGCCCCCACCGCGTGGGGCTCCAGGTGTGCCAGCCTGCCCCGGGGATGCCCTGCTGGGATGGACTGGGGTGATAGCTCCCCCACCCTGACTCACTCTGCCCCCCAGGAGCGCCTTCTTTCGGGTATCGCTGAGGCCTGGGTTCCTGGCTGACTGTTCCCTCAGCTTGGTGGGATGTGGGGCCATTGCCTTGTAGCTCAGGCTGCTGTGATGGGGGGTGGGGTCAGATCCCAACATCTGGATCTGTGTGATCTCCTCCCGTGCCAGGCAACAGCTGGCTGCAGAGCCTGTGTCTCCATCCCCACTTGCTCTCCTGGGATAGGTCATGGTCTCTTCCTGGTATGCTGCTGGCAGTCGCTGCTGCTGCTTTCTTCCAGTATGTCCCTTCCTGGGAGAGCAGGGCTGTCCCTTGTGCCAGGTGCCCTGGCTGCTTCCTGCCTTTGCTTGCATGGTCCCACCAGCCCATGGGAGCTGCTCAGCAGGTCTGGGGGATGAAGCAAGGCTACGGCTGCTCTCACCAGCAGTATGGGGACACTGCCCTGGGCCAGCAGGTCCCAGTACACGAGGACCTACCATCAGCAGGGAGCGGTGCTCTGCCTGCACACCTCTGCTGCCACAGGGGCCCTGCTAAGCAGCTCACCTGCCTGGCCAGCTCCTGCCCTGGCTGGGGCTTGTTGTGACCCCCTGTGGAGTGATCCTTCAACGACTCCCAGCAGCAGGTGACAATATTGTCCCTGCGGTGGCCAGCTTACCATAGCAGGAGCTGGGGATGCCAGTGGCACGCAGCATCCCACCCCTGCCTGGCTCGGGAGTGGATCAGCCAGCACTGCTGCCTTCTGGCTGACATCTTCTCTGGGGCCTCCAGGACCTGTCAGCTGGGGCTGCCTAAGGCTCCTGCAGGCAGGGAGCAAGCCCAGGGCAGGGAAGCCTTTGGGTCACATCCTCCTGCCTGGGGGTCCCTCAGCAGGGCACGGCGGGGGGCTGAGCCACGGGCAGGGTGCTGCAGGCACAGGGCAGGAGGCAGCAGGCTGCCAGCCAGATCCTGTTGTCTCGAGTCCGGGCACAGCGAGCGGATGGACCTGTCTGGTGGTGCTGCCATGGAGAGTTGCACAAGGGGCTAGGAATAGAGCAGCAGGAGGTGATTAGAAGGTGCAGGCCCAGCTGGGTGGTAGCAATAAATAGACTAGGCTTAAGCCCCTGCCTACCTGGGCAAGGCTGCTGGGCATACCTGTACACACGAGGCAGCCACGGCCTGTTCCTGCTCCCTGCCACAGCCGACCCCCACAGCTCCCGTCCTGCTGCCTCTCCTGGGGCAGCCTCTTCCCTTTGTTGCAAGCAGAGCAGGGGGAATGGCTCACTGGGAGTGCTGGCCAGGAGTCCTGGCTGTGAGAACATGAGCCCCAGCCTGATGGCCATAGCAGTGCAGGGACATGATCCCAGACATGTCCTTCAGGCTGGCTGTGGACGCTTCTGTGCTGCCCTCCTGGGGCAGGTGTTGCCTCTGACCTTGCCGTGTCCTGTGGTGCTGCAAATCCCTCTGGCCCAGCACCGTGACTGCTGAATCGGCAGCACTGGCTGCAGCCGGCTGCCCTTGCTCCTCCAGGGATGTGGGCAGGATGCTGCCTGCCAGGGATGCTGGGTGCCCAGCCCTGGGGTAGCTGAGCACCTGTGCCCCTTGGGGACCCCTGAGGTGGGTGCTTGCTGGGAAGAGATGCTATGCTGGCTCCAGGGGTCTTGGGCAGGGTGGGGCAGGGCTGGTACAATCGAAAAGGACATGGAGTGCTGCGTGTCAGCGCACCGTTGCTCAGGAGCAGCTGCCTGGGGAACTCTGCTCAGCCCACAGCTGGCGGTGGTGGCAGCCTCCAGTGGCTGGGGTGTGTGGCATTACCTTGCCTGGAAGGACGCTGTGTGGGCACCGGCATCTTCCTGCCCAGCTGGAGCCTCACTTTCCCCTCATCCTGTCCCCAGAGGAGGGGCGCTGCCTGGCCAGCTCAGGGAGGGGGGTGACAGGAAGGAGCTGTTATCATTCATTGTCCCCAGCTCAGCTGGGAGTGACAACAACTCCTTCCTGCCCCACGTGTCCGGCCTGGCTGTGGGACCAATGGGACAGGGCTGTTCCCACAGGGCCACAGCTCAGTGTAGTGAGGGCATGGTGATCTGGGACTGGCACTGGGGTGGCTCAGATCCCTGGGCAATGCTGGCTGCTGAAGGTCTGTGGGGATGTGGCTAGGGGCTGGTTCAGCCCGTTGCTGGGGCACCTGCAGTCTGGCAGTGATGCTCTCTGTCCCCCTGATGCCCGGGACGCTGTGTGCCTGCTGTCTTGCCTGCAGCTGGTCCCTGTCATCCCGGGGTGGGCAGAGGGGACAGTGAAGTCCTGACCCCCCTCTGCTGCAGCTCAGCCTTTGTAATCCCCTTCTCGTTCCGACTCACCAGCTTATTTCCTGGCTAATTCCCCAAGCTATAAATACTGCGCTGCCTCAAAGGGCCCCGAGGCCCTGTGACTACCCTACAGGGCAGTGGCTGGTCCCCCAAGCAAGGAAACAAGAGCCCTTGTCCCCCTGGGGGCAAAGGGTGTCACTTGGGGGAGCAACTGCTGTGGGGCCAGTGGGATCTCGGGCCAGGCTTGCTTAGGCCAGTTAGCCCTGGCTACATCGGGGGCTGTTGTTCACTGGACAGGGTGGGGTGCAAGAGGTCCCCAGGAAGAACCTGTGGTTGTGGGGAGGTGGGGGGCTCAGGACCCGAGGGGAAATCCTGTCATTTGGCTGAATATACCCCCCTCTGCAGGCCGCAATGAGCCCCTGAAGAAGGAGTGTCCCAAGTGGAAGAGTGACTACCCCATGACAGACGGGCAGCTGCGCAGCAAGCGGGACGAGTTTTGGGACACGGCACCAGCCTTCGAAGGCCGCAAGGAGATCTGGGATGCCCTGAAGGCAGCTGCCTATGCTGTAGAAGCCAATGACCACAGCCTGGCCCAGGCCATCCTCGATGGAGCCAGCATCACCCTGCCCCATGGTGAGGGTCAGCACTGGGCATTTGGGTGGGCTGCGTGCTGAGTGCCCCACATCTGGGCATATGGGGGTCCCAGGCTGGAGTAGAAAGGGGCTCCCACCTCCCATGCAGAGCTCAGCCCAGCCAAGATGAGAAAGGCAGGCTGTGCCAGGCTGCTTGAGGTGACCCTGTCCCCATTTGAGTGGTCCATGGGGATGCCCACCCTTAGCGTCTTATCCCGCTGTCCCCAGGGTCCCTGACGGAGTGCTACGATGAGCTGGGCAACCGGTACCAGCTGCCCGTCTACTGCCTTGCACCCCCCGTCAACCTGATCCTGGAGCGGAGCGAGGAGGAGGCGGTGGAACCGGCTGAGCCTCTGCCCAACGCCCGGCGGGAGTTCACCCTCAAGGTGCGCCTCTCCACCGGCAAGGACCTGCGGCTCAGCGCCAGCATGAGCGACACCATCGGGCAGCTGAAGAAGCAGCTGCAGGCGCAGGAGGGCATTGACCTGGCCTGGCAGCGCTGGTTCTTCTCAGGCAAGCTGCTCACTGACCGCACACGACTGCAGGAGACCAAGATCCAGAAGGATTTTGTTGTGCAAGTGATTGTCAACCAGCCCCTTCCACCCAGGAACTGAGCCACCCCCTACTGGTTGAGGGGAGAGGGCAGGGGGCTGGGAGACAGTGGCACCTCTGGGGATTCCCTGTGCTGTGTTCTGGCCCATCCGGAGCTACTCCTGCTCCCCCCTGAGGCTGCCACACAGGTGACCCCCCAGGAAGGTCTGCATGGGGCTGTGCCACCATGGTGGCTGCCCTTGGCCAGGGACACGGGCAGGCGCCGTGTTTGCTGAAGGAGGTTCGAGACCAAATGTCTCTGGGGCTGGGGCTCCTCTGCCAGGCTGTGCCGGCAGGGAGAGGCTGTGACCCACTGGGCTCTGGCTTCCCCCTGGCCAGGAGACCCGTGGGGTGCTGGGCTGGGTGGAGATGTCTCCCCTCTGTACATAGTCTGTATTTATCAATAAAGCCTTTTCATCCTTCCTCTGGCCTTGGGGACAGGCTGGAGGGGGCTGTAACCCATAGCCATGAGGTCCCTGTGCCTGTCCTGTATCTGCTCCCATGTCAGAATGGGGACAGGGTGGTCAAGGGTAGCCTGGACACCCCAGCTCTGCTCCCTAGTGCCACCCTGACCCTGTCCTGCCCACCCTGGCTGTTTGCTTGCCAGGACCCCTCCCCTGCATTGTCCCATTGTCATTCTGGCTGCTTCTTAGTGTGGGGTCACCACCTCCCTTTCCTGGTACTTCCCCTCTGGAGGTTTAAGCTGGTGTCTGCCCTTGAGCTAGGCGGGACAGTCCATGCAGGGGAACAGTCCCAAGATTACCTTCATGGCCACCATGGCCTGCCCTGGTGAAAATAGTCCTTCTGCCATGGGAGGCTGTCACACCCATGGGACAGGGCACCCAAGGATGGCCCTGGGAACTGCCCAGGAGGGTAGCAGTGACGTGTAGCTGCCTGTCCCTCCCCAGGTCCTGTGCTGGTGGATGGTGCCCAGCGCATTAACTGTCATCTTACCTCATCATTGACCTCATCTTACAAGGGGGGAGTTCTCAGGAGGGTTGAACAATGTTCCTGCTGCCGGGAATAGCTGTGGGCTCTGCCTGTTGGCCCCACGTGAGGCCAGTCTCCTGCTGCCAGACTGCCATGTGCTGTGGGGGGGGCCAGGCAGCCTCAGGGACCCTGGCAGGGCTGCTCAGAATGTTCCACACCTGAGGTCATCCTCTAAAGCAGCATGGAAGGGCCATGACTCCTGGCATCCCGTGCTGCCTGCTGCTGGCTGAGAGACTTGAGAGGACCCATTGCCTCTCTTTGGGGTGGGCAGGACCCCTCAGGCCCCCACCCTGCCCAAGGTGCCAGGGAACCTTGGGCAATGTTGGCTGTTGCAGCATCTGATTGGACAAAGATGGGAACCATGGGAGCATCTTGCTTGCCCAGGCTGGGTGGCACAGGCATAGGTGCCATGCCTATGGGATGACCCTGGATCATGTCCCTGTTCTGCTGAGCCTCTCCTGACTGGCTGTCACAGGTTCCGCACACTGCAGCTTCCCATAATAAGCACAGATGTCCTGGTAAAACCCAGGGTGTGTGTGGGGGGGTCTCTTTAAGAGGGTGTGGGGCTGGAGAGGTGAGTCAGGGCCAGAAAGCAGGAGGGTGAGCTCATGACAAAGCTGCCCCAGTCATGTGGAGCAGCCACAGCTGTTGGTGCCCTTGGGCTGTGGGACAGAGGGGCCAGCAGCATAAAGCCCCACAGCCAGGAAAGCTGCCGGCAGCACCCGGAGCCAGGACTGGGAACTCCCTGCCTGTGGTAGCAAGAAGAAGAGGACACATCCTGCACAGGACTGTGCACTGCAGGCAGACATGGAGCTGGATGTGGAACGGGCCAAGGAGCTGATCGAGCAGAAGCTGGCAGAGGAGGAGAAGGAGGAGGTGGGTCCATGGGGCAGGGGAACCTTCCTGGGCTGTAGTAGGAACCCCCTTTGTACTCTGTCCATCCTTAGGGACTCGGATGTGAGGAGGCTGGCACCGACCTTGCCATCCTGGGGGATGTATGAAGGTGTCCAAGGGCTCTCAGGGGGATCAAGTTCCCAACCCGGCAGCTCTAGCCCATGGGGCAGAACTGAGCAGCCAGCAGGTGCCCAGCTTACCAAACAGGGTGGGCAGGCAAGCGCAAGCCCAAGGGCTGCCAAGCACCCCACAGACCTCAGCGGCGAGTGGAGCCATGCCCAGAGCCACCTTCCCCGGCAGGCTGAGGATGGAGGCAGTGGGGCTGCTCTGTGCCCAGACAAGACCATGCAGCGCCCGCTGTGCCTGTGCAGAAACTCAAAGGGGATGGAGCACGGGAGCCGCCGGCCGTGGAGCGGATGAACACACCTGATCTGGAGGAGGAGAAACGCTGTGGGCCCAGGAACTGGGGCCTTGAGGCCATCAAGGTGAGTGGGTAGGGGCTCAGGGTGGCCAGGGGTGGCTGGTCACAGACAAGTCAGGGCACTGTGTGTGCTCACCAGGGCCAGGAGAAGGTGCGGAGGAGTTCAGTGGATCTGAGGCGGGAGATCATCGACGTGGGGAGCATCCAACGACTCATTGAGCTCCGCAAGCAGCGCCGGCAGCGCCGGGCAGAGCGGGCAGCCACCCCCGAGCCCACCCCACCACCTGAGCCCCTGGAGATTGTACGTCAGGGGTTCCACGGTGTGGGAGGGGGCTGCTGGGAGAGGGGCTGGACCACCCACAGGCCAGCCCCTGGGTCACCCTGCCACTCAGAGACCTCCCTGGGGAAGCAGGGCAGGGGGCCCCCATGTTGTCCCCTCTCCTGTACCCCTGTGCTGCCCCAGCCCTGAGCCTGTGCCATTGCCAGGACGGGCCTGTGGAGCCAGAGACCTTCCTGCGAGCCGCTGTCCAGGGCAAGATGCACGTCATCGAGAAGTTCCTGGCAGACGGTGGCTCCCCCGACACATGTGATGAGGTAGCAACCCTGGCATGCAGCCGTGCCCCACCATGCCCGTGGGTGAGGGCTGGGACCCTTGGGACAGGGCTGGAGGTACAACCAGATGGGCAGGGGAGGATGCATCTGTCCTCCAATGTGCCACCCTGTCCCGCAGTTCCACCGCACAGCGCTGCACCGCTCCTCGCTGGAGGGACACATGGAAATCCTGCAGAAGCTGCTGGACAGTGGGGCCACTGTTGACTTCAGGGACCGGGTGAGGCTGGACTCTGCTTCCAGCTGCATGCTGGTCTGAGCATCTGGGTGTGTTGCAGCCAGAACTACAGCAGGACTGGGGACCCTGCAGTGGGGCAGTGCTGTCCCCATCACAGAGGTGGCTGCAGCAGGGCTCCACCAGTTCAGCTCCAGCACGGGGACCTGCTGGGGCAGGGGACAGGTACAGGGTAGCGGTGTCCCCCACCATGACACAACACTGTATGTCCAGCTGGACTGCACTGCCGTGCACTGGGCCTGCCGGGGTGGGCACCTGGATGCTGTCAAACTGCTGCAGGACCGCGGGGCAGACCTCAATGTGAAGGACAAGGTGAGCAGGGCAGAGCAGGTCAAAGGGCTGTGCCAGGGGTACCAGAGCTGACCCACTGTTGGGTTAGCAGGTGGGGCTGCTGATCCCCCCTGATGTCCATCTCATCCCCCCTCAAGCTGCTCAGCACACCCCTTCACGTGGCCACCCGAACCGGACACCTTGACATTGTGGAGCATCTCATCCACTGCGGGGTGGCTATCAATGCCCCAGACAGGGTGAGTGCTGCAGCCATGCAGGCATCAGTGGGGGCAACACCGATCCCCCTGCCTTTGTTGACCCCTCCAAGGGCTTCCAGCACCCACAGTGGGGCACATCTGGACACACACATCCCTGCCCCAGGGTGGTTGCAGCCACAGTCAGGTCTGGGACAGGAACGGTCCCCTTTATTCGTGTGGAGATTGGTGTGCTGGGGACTGGGGAGCAGTGCTGGGGGCAGGCAGAGGGTCCTTGTCCCTGGCCCACAATCTCCAGTAAAGCTGTCTCTCAGGAAGGTGACACAGCACTGCATGATGCCACACGGCTCAGTCGCTACAAGATCATCAAAACGCTGATCCTGCATGGGGCTGACATGATGGCCAAGAATGAGGTGAGTGTGTGGGGCCAGCACTGAGGCCATTTGCTGCCCCACCCTGTTGCATCACCCTGTGCCCAGCCTCTCTCTGCCCACCCTTGCAGGCTGGCAAGACCCCGACAGACCTGGTGCAGCAGTGGCAGGTGGACACACGCCAGGCGCTGGAGACCAAGGAGCAGCCACAGGGGGAGATGGAGGTCCCTGCATGATGGCACCAGGCAGGGACCAGGGGCTGGGCTCAGCTCCAAGGAGCATGATCCAGACAAGACTTGTCTGTGTCAATAAAAGTTAGCAAAGAGCAGTGTTTGGCTCCAGGTGGCTTTGAGGTTGGGCAGCCTGCACCAGCCTTGGTGGGCCTGGGGAAGCTGGGTTATCCTGGGAGCAGGGTTATCTGGCAGCATGATGAGCCCTGCCTCCTATCACTAGGACTCAAGTACTGGTGACACCAAGTGGTTCAAGTGCAGGACTCCTCGCTGCAGGAGTCCTGATTGCTCACGGTCCTATGAAGTCCCACCTGGGCAAGCTCAGGGAGGAAAAATACATGGAGGACAGCTCAACCTGAGTCCATCTTGTGCTGGAGGCTGAGGTTGTGCCAGAGAGCAGCAGCTGTACCCGTGCTGGACAGCCACTCTGTGGGGCTGGATGGCTTCTTGTCCTTCTGCCTTTCCTGCTGCAGCCATCCCCAGGGGACAGGTGGTCCCTCTGCACACATGCTAAATGCAGTGCTCACACTCACCCGTTTACAGGACACCCTACACTGACAGGTGGATCAGGTGATCCCTGACCAAAGCCCTGGGACTGCTTGTAATGCCTGGTCTCTCTCTGGCCTTGCAGCCCAGCCCTGTACGAGGCAGAGGAATGGCTGCCAGGGTTGGCAAGCAGAAGGGAAAGCCACGGCCGCGGTGGCCAAAGCTCAGCTGGAATGGCACTGAGCTCCTTGCAGCCAGCTCCTGCAGGGAGAAGAACACCCTGAGCTCATGTGGTACCACCCCCCATGTCAACTGCCCAGCAGGGTTGCGGGTCCCTCACGTGCCCCGTCAAACATTAACAGCCCCTCGGCGAGGCAAGCAGCACAGGCAGCGGCAGCGCCCAGCCACCATGGCATTCAGCACCCGCCTCGCCTCCTCCCTCCGGCCTGCCCTGGCAGCTCGGCACGGGGCAGCCCCCGGGCAGTGCTGGGGGCTCAGCACCCCGCAGGGATCAGCGCCCTCCTTCAATCTTGGGGGCATCTTCCCACCGCTCGCCACCCCCTTCTCGCCCACTCAGGAGGTGGACTATGCCCAGCTGGAGGGGAACCTGCGCCGCTATGCCGGCATCCCTTTCCGAGGTAAGCGCTGCCCACTGTCCTTCTCCGGGCAGGCTCCCGCCAGATCCCCGCCTGCCTCAGAGGCTGTGCGGCAGCGTGCAGGCAGCCTGCCAGCTCCCCAGGGGT